TGAAAACACAACAACTTACCACAAAGCCAAGTTTTCAGGGGGAATAATTTTTAAGTTTCTTTTAGATATCTGGAAATTTGCATGAATGTACAGACGCGCGAAAAGAAATGAGAATGGTTATTAAATACACCTGAATAATTAAAGAATCCAGAGCCACCTGCCCTCTTTAAATCAGTTACTGCCGCTGAAAATCCACAATAGGCATCCTTAATGGCTTACAATGTGAGGGAATGCATTTTGGGTAGAAGAAACATGGAGAGAAAATACAGGCTCAATGATACAACTTTGAGGGCAGTACAGGAGCAGAGGGCCCTCAGGGTTCAAGTACATAAATGTCTGAAGGTGGGCAGGCAAGTTGTGAAATAAATAAGAAGGCTTATAGGATCCTTGGCTTTATGAATACAGGCAAAGAGAATAACAGCAAAGAAGTGATGTGACCCCCTACAAATCATTGGTCAGACTACATCTGGAGTATTTTAGGAGCCAGTATAGACATGATGTGTCAAATGGCCTCATTCTACACTGTAAAATTCTATAATTCTATACTGCCCAGATGCCTGAACTATTGGTTCTAAATGGACCTCCTCCTTTGAGATAAACACTCTCCTTTGAGATAAACACTCACATATCCCTGTTCTCTGTTTGTCAGTGTCATTTGGCTTGTCATGTGAAGAGCAGTTGAGGACTCTGGGTCAGTATTGGATGGAGTTTAGAAGGAGGGGGGGTATCTGATTGAAATTTACAGAATGCTGACAGGCCTGGATGGAGTGGATGTGGAGAAGATGTTTCCAATAGTAGGAGAGACTAGGAACTGAGGTCACTGCCTCAGAGAGAAGGGATGGCTCATTAGAACTGAGATGAGGAGGAATTTCTTCAGCCAGAGGGTGGTGAATCTGTGGAATTCATTGCCACAGAAAGCTGTGGAGGCCAAGTCATTGAGTGTATTTAAGACAGAGATAGATAGATTTTTGAATAGTAAGGGATCAAGAATTATGGGAGAACGCAGGAGAATGGGGTTGAGAAATATATCAGCCATTATCAAATGTTGGAGAAGACTCGATGGGCTGAATGGGCTAATTTACTCCTATGTCTTGTGGTCTTATAGTGTGATGTAAAGTGGAGACTATTCTGGAAGGTTAAAGAAAGAAAATCTTTTATCGAACACACACATAATCTTGCGCATCCCAATGTGTTTGACAGTCAAGCATTTGAATAAGTGCATTCACTCTTGTAGGAAATGTGGCCGCCAAATTACATTTGTCAGTCTCTCTAAAATACCAATGTGATCATAATCAGATATGTTTCAGTGATAATGGTTGAGGGATAAATATTATCCAAAAAGACATAAGGGAGAACACCATTGTTCTTTCATAAATACAGCCATGCAACCTTCACACCCACCCATGGATGAACCAGCAGATCTCTTCCCCACTGAAGTCCAGGTCTGAGGCATTCAGATCGGGCCACCCTGACCTATACAGGGAATCCAGGTTTGACCATCGTAAGGCCATTAGATATGCCAAGATGCAATATCAAGCTAAGCCTGAGACCCAGACCTGTTTGTGGCAAGGCTTACACAACATAATGGTCTACAAAGCAAAGTTGAACAGAACAGTAGCTCAGTGCTTAGCACTGCTGCCTCACAGCACCAGGGACCCAGGGATTCCACTCTCGGGTGACTGTCTGTGTGGACATTCTCCTCATGTCTGCGTGGGTTTCCTCCAGGTGCTCCAGCTTCCTCCCACAGTCCAAAGATGTGCAGGCTAGGTGGATTGACCATGCTAAATTGCCCACAGTATCCAGGGATATGTAGACTAGGTGTGTTATAGGGGGATGGGTCTGGATGGGATGCTCTGAGAGTCGGTGTGGACTTGTTGGGCCAAAGGGCCTGTTTTCACACTATATGCATTCTAAGGGATTCTAAGAATTGTAGGTAGTACATCCCTATAGGATGAGCTCAATGCATTCTACACTCAGTATGAACAGATGGTCAATGAAGCAATGTCACCTATCCTAGAAGCCTCAGAAGAACCTGTACCCATGGTCATCGTTGCAGGCATTATATCTTCTTGAGAATAAACCCATGGAAAGCGACCGGCCCAATGGGGTCCTGACCATGTGCTCAGATCCTGTGTGAGCCAGCTGGCAGACATATTCTCTGACATCTTTAACCATCCCTTACTATGATCTGAAGTCCCCAACTGCTTCAAGAAGACCACCATTAGCTGTCCAGTAGAAGACAGAGGGTAGTAGATGGGAAGTATTCAGCCTGGAGCTCAGTGACCAGTGATGCTCCGCAGGGATCTGTTCTGGGACCTCTGCTCTTTGTGATCTTTATAAATGACTTGGATGAGGATTTGGAAGGGTAGGTTAGTAAGTTTGCTGATGACACGAAGCTTGGTGGAGTTGTGGATAGTGGGGAGGGCTGTTGTAGGTTGCAACGGGACATTGACAGAACGCAGAGCTGGGCAAAGAAGTGGCAGATGGAATTCAACCCAGAAAAGTGTGAAGTGATTCATTTTGGAAGGTCGAATTTGAATGCAGAATACAGGGTTAGTGGCAGGATTCTCAGCAGTGTGGAGGAACAGAGGGATCTTGGGGTCCACGTCCATAGATCCCTCAAAGTTGCTACCCAAGTTGATAGGGTTGTAAAGAAGGCATATGGTGTGTTGGCTTTCATTGGCAGGGGAATTGAGTTTAAGAGCTGTGAGGTTATGTTGCAGCTCTGTAAAACTCTGGTTAGATCACATTCGGAATATTGTGTTCAGTTCTGGTTGCCTCATGAAAGGAAGGATGTGGAAGCTTTAGAGAGAGTGCGGAGGAGATTTACCAGGATGCTGCCTGGACTGGAGGGCAGGTCTTATGAGGAAAGGTTGAGGGAGCTAGGGCTTTTTTTATTGGAGTGAAGAAGGATGAGTGGTGACTTGATAGAGGTGTACAAGATGATGAGAGGCATAGATAAGGTGGATAGCCAGAGACTTTTTCCCGGGGCGGAAATGCCTATTACAAGGGGTCATAATTTTAAGGTGATTGGAGGAAGGTATAGGGTAGATATCAGAGGTAGGTTCTTCACACAGAGAGTGGTGGGCGTGTGGAATGTGCTGCCGAGGGTGGTAGTGGAGTCAGATCCTTTAGAGACTTTTAAGTGAATCTTGGATAGGCACATGGATGATAGTATAATGTAGGGTATGCAGGGTAGTTTGATCTTAGTAGGATAATAGGTCAGCACAACATCATGGACCGAAGGGCCTGTACTGTGCCGTACTGTTCTATGTTCTATATATCATCATGTCGGTACCAAAGAAAATCATGCAGCATGCCTCAAAGACTGCTATCCGGTGGCTCTGATCTCCATTATTGTGAAGTCCTTCGAGAGGTTAATCATGGCTCATGTCAGCTCCAGCCTACCAAATGCCTTGCTCCTCTTCAATTCGTCTACTGTTGCAACAGGTCACCAGCAGACGCAATCTCCCTGGCCCTACGCTCATCCTTGGAACATCTGAATATTAAGAACACCTACATCAGACTCCTACTTATTGATTACAGTTCTGCCTTCAACACCTTAGTTCCAAACAAATTCATTGCTAAACTTTGAGACCTAGGTCTTGGCTCTCCCCCCTGTATCTGGATCCTCAACTTCCTGATCCATAGATAACAATCAGTAAGAATAGGTGAGAACACCTCCTCCACCATAATCTGCAACACTGGTGCCCCATAAGTCTGCGTACTCAGCCCCCACTATACTCCTTATACACTCATGACTGTGTGACCAAAGTCCACCCCAACTCCATTTACAAGTTTGCTGTTGACACCTCCATTGTAGGTCAGATCTCAAACAACAATGAGGTAGAGTACAGGAAAGAGATTGAGTGCTTAGTGGCATGGTGTGAAGACAGCAAACTCTCCATCGACATCTGCAAAATGAAGGAGCTGGTCATTGATTTCAGGGAGCAGTGTGGAGGGCATGCCCCTGACTGCATCAATGGTGTTGAGGTGGAGATGGTTAACAGTGTCAAGTTCCTGGGAGTGATGATCACCAACAATCTGCCCTCGTCCACCCACATCGACACAACGGTCAAGAAAGCATAGCAATGCCTGTACTTCCTCAGGAAGCTGAGGAAATTTGGCATGTCTGCAAAGGCTCTTACCAATTTTTATAGACGTACCATAGAAAGCATCCTGTCTGGATGTATCACAGCATTGCATGGCAACTGCTCTTCCCAAGACCGCAAGAAAATACAGAGTTATGAACACAGCCCAGTCCGTCACACAAACCAGCCTTCCATCTACTGACTCCATCTACACTTCTTGCTGCCTCAGGAAAGCAACTAACTTAATCAAAGACCCCTCCTAACCCAGTTATACTCTCTTCCAACCTCTTCTGTCAGGCAGAAGATATAAAAGTTTGATTGCATTTTAAGATTTAAGAACACCTTCTTCCCTGCTGTTATCAAACATTTGAATGGACCTCTCAAATGTTAATTCTGACCTCTCTTTCTTTACCTTCTCTCTAGCTGTAACAGTGTATTCAGCACTCTGTTCTGTTACCCTTATGCAATTTTATGTGGAACGATCTGCCTGTAGAGCATGCAAAACTACACTTTTCACTCTATCTCAGTACATGTGACAACAATAAATCAAACTCAAGCATTTCATCAGAAAGGCAGCTTTCCTAACAGTGCCTGACTCCTGCAGTGAACTGTCAGTCTGAATTTGCTGCTCATGCCTGTGGAATGTGTGGTTTTCCATCATCCATTTCCTCATCGCTGCTGCACTGAAGTATATCAGTGAGCGTAATAATGGTAGAATATTGAACACTGTCACAGCTTAACTTCAGATTGTCTAATTTCTTGCTTTCATGTTCCCTAAAGCTGGTTGATATCCCGGGCTCTTTTTAAACTGTTAGCACTTTTATTAATATCATCTTTGTCTTGTTAAGATGCTATGTACAATTTTAATAACTAACCTGCCACTAACAGACATTTGGTTTAACCCCATAGGAAAGAAGAGTTGAGAAGAACTTGATGTGATTGCTGCTCTGAAATCTCTTGACCCTCAGATTGTTATCTGCTCTTATACACAGGTAGGACTTTATGGTGTTTGGAGATACAGAACTAATTGGTTTTGCTCTACTCTTTCAGTTGTGGTCTCTGTAGCTCAGCTCTGGAGGCTGTTATTGAGGCATAACTCTGTAACAATCTAAAAACAATCTAAATTCCAAGAGATTTGGTGTAAGTACAAATGATAACTCCAAATGTAATGGTACAGAGCAACCAATGTTAGTGCTATTTACAGTTCATTACCAAAACTGTGAATGTGGAAAATGGGGCTGGCTTATAGCCTGATGAGGACAAGTAAGTTGGATTCCCCACTAAAAGCTGGTTGTGAGCATTTGTTGTGAGAACGTACACTGGGTGTACACTGGTTCTACAACTCCTTAGACAGCACCTTCCAAATCTGTAAGTCAATCATCTAGAAGGAAAAGGGCAACAGATACTTGGGAACACCATCATTTGCAAGTTTCCATACAAGCCACTCACCATCCTGCCTTGGAAATATATTGCCATTCCTTTAGTGTTGCTAGATCAAAATCCTCCTGAAATTCCCTCCCTAAAGGCATTGTCTACTTACAGCAAGTGGACTGCAGCGGTTCAAGAAGGCAGCTCACCACCAACTTCTCAAGGGGCAACTAGGGATGAGCAAAAATGCTGGCCCAGCCATGTCTCACAAATAAGTTAAAAATAGTGCTCCCCAGTTGAGCCAGGAAATATTAACAACCACCTGAGCCAGATGGGTGCATTCAGAGGGCTTGGAACATGGGCAAAGCCTATAGGTTTGTTGGGCAACCTATGTGCAGCTACTTGGGGCAGATTAGACTGTCTAGGATTGTTCTCCATTGAACTGAGTTATTTCAAGGAAGATTTAAGAGATTAAAAATTCAATAGATTTTGTTGGCATAAATACAGGGAAACTGTTTCCAATGGCAGCAAGATTGGGAACTCGAAGACACAGGTTTGAGGGAGTTGGTAATAGAACCTGGGGTGACATGAAGAGACTCCACCAAACCACACAAAAGTTGATTGTGGGCTCTTCTACAATCTCTGACCAGCTGCAGCAGGTCCCTCATAAAAGTTTAAATGACTGATGCTGCACAGAGGAATGCTACACTTTAAAGATGAGGTGTCTAACGGGTATAGCTATGTCCTATACACAAGCTAGCCTTTCCTTCAGAGAGCTGGCCTCTCACCCCTGCACACTTTGATTTTATTTATTGTTGTCACATGTACCGAGATACCGAGTGAAAAGTGTTGCTTTGCGTGCTCTATAGGCAAATCATAATTTACGTAAGTACATCAGGGCAAAAGAACAGAATGCAGAATATAGTGTTATAGCTACAGAGAAAGTGCAGAGAAAGATCAACTGTAATATATGAGAGGTCTACCCATAAAATCTGAAGAAGCTGTCTTTGAATCTGTTTGTATGTGCTTTCAAACTTTTGTATCAGCTGCCTGATGGAAAAGGTGGAAGAGAGTATAACTGGGGTGGGAGGGATTTTTTTATTATGTTGGCTGCTTTCCTGAGGCAGCGGGAACTGTAGAGGGAGTCAATGGATGGAAGGCTGGTTTGCATGATGGACTGGGCTGCATTTACAACACTCTGTAGTTTCTTGTCTTGGGAAGAGCAGTTGCCAAATCACGCTGTGATGCATCCAGATAGGATGCTTTCTTTGGTGTGTCTATAAAAATTATTAAGAGTCATTGTGAGATGCCAAATTTCCTTAGCCCCCTGAGGAACTTGCTCCTACTCACGTGTGCAGATCTCTCTAACTCACTGTGAATGCAATGCAGGCTGATGATTTGTGTGCTGCCACTCAGATGGATGAGAGTTAGAGACAGAACGTGTTCTATAGTGTTGTCCAGCTCAATGTGAGGGTCCGAGTGCATTGAAATACCTGGTAAAGGACAGAGTCAAGGAGGAAGAGCATTGATGTCAGGACAAGCACTGTCAGCTGACTAGGCGGTGCATCTTGCTGTGTGATTGCAGAGTGAAATGTGAAAAAGAATGAATAAGGAAGGGAAAATGCACAACACCCTGCTGTTCCTTGCCTCTAGCTCAACTATGTTCAATGTTGCATGCCCTTTTTCTGGATGATCTTCTTCACTACTGTCAGCTTGCAGAGCTGTAGGAGCCCCCTGTGTTAGTATACCTCTCTCCTGTTACGTTTCTGATCCCCTGGGAGGAAAGCAATTATTTACAGTTCATAGGCAGAAACAGGCCATTCAGCCCATCCAGATGATACCAGATTTTATGCACCACTTGAACCTCCCTGATCCCTCTTTTTCAACCCTCTCATATTCAGATATTTTCTTCTCCCTCTTGTGTTCATCCAGTTTTCCCCTGGATATACATCAATCTCAGTTGCTACTCCTTGTGGTATTGAGTTCCCTGTTAGTGGGGTTAACCAATGCTCTGAGAACACCAAATGGATTAGCATTTCATGCTCTGTGATGGGTCTGAGCAGCAAGCTGGGGAATACAATGTTGTGAAGGTTAGTAGCAGGTGCAGGCAGAATGGAGCTGCAGGGAAATGAATCCTCCTGACGTGAGAGGCAGACAGAGCCAGGTTGATTCGGTGATGCTCTGGAAAGTGTGAAATCTTGCGGGGTTGTGTGGTCAAACGGAGGGAGATGGGCAGACTTGGTTAGTCCTGGATAGTGCTTGCGGGACTGTATAGTCAATCAGGGGGATTGGCAGCTGGTTGCCCACTGAAGGAGATAAGTGCCACATTCCTGCCGCTTCACCCAACCTGTGGGATCCCTCTGTGCTTCATTTGTGAGCAAAGAATTCTAACCTATTGTTCCACAGTGTTTCCACACACCCACCCTCATCCCCCTTCAAATTGAGATAAAAGCTCGAAGGTCTTACAGTGTGCCTTTAAGTAGCAGCTATCTCACCAGCCTTGCTACCCTCCCAGTGAACTCCCAGCGTGTTTTATAACAATTAGATCTGGCTACAAAGATGGTACTTGTTGCATGTGAGCACCTTTTTTTCATTCACTGGTAGGACATGGGTGTCACTGGCTGGGCCAGCATTTATTGCCCATCCCCAGCTGCCCTTGAGAAGGTGGTGGTGAGCTGCATCCTTGAACCGCTGCAGTCCATGTCAGTGTAGGTAGACCCAGAATGCTGTTTGGGACTGAATTCCAGGATTTTAACCCAGGGACACTGAAGGAGTGGAGATATATTTCCAAGTCAGGATGGTGAGTGGCTTGGAGGGCAACCTTGCAGGGGGTGGTGTTCCTATGTATCTGCTGCCCTTGTCCTTCTAGATGGAGGTGGTCATGTGTTTGGAAGGTGCTGTCTGAGGATCTTTGGTGAATTTCTGCAGTGTATCTTGTAGATAGTACTCACTGCTGCTACTGAGTGTTGACAGTGGATAGAATGGATGCTTCTGGGTGTGATGTGAATCAAATGGGTTGCTTTGTCCTGGATGGTGTCAAGCTTCTTGGGTATTGGAGCTGCACCTATCCAGGGAAATGAGAGTATTCCATCACATTTCTGACTTGTCCCTTGTGGGTGGTGGACAGGTTTTGGAGAGTGGTGAGTTACTGCTACAGTATTCCTAGCCTCTGACCTGCTCCTGTTTATATGGTGAGAACAATTGAGTTTATGGTCAATGGTAAGCTCAGGATATTGATAGTGGAGCATTTAGTGATGGTAGCACTGTTGAATGCCAAGGGGCAATGATTAGATGGTCTTTTATAGGTGATCATCATAGCCCTGGCATTTGTGTGGTGTGAATCTTACTTGCCACTTATCAGCCGAAGCCTGGATATCGTCCAGATCTTGTTGCATTTGAACATGGGCTGCTTCAGTATCTGAGGAGTCATAAATGGTGCTGAACACTATGCAATCATAAGCAAACATCCCCATTTCTGACCTTATGATGGAGAGAAAGTTATTGATGAACACAATGCAGACATTGCCAACCGCTGTCTAATCTATGCCATGGTTGAGAACCACTTTTGGTGTTATCTTTGAGTTAAGAGGTGACTTGTTGAGTGAGCATAAAATAAAGACAAGGGATCACATCAGTAGTTGATCTCTGAATCTGAAGAGGTTATTTTATAAATCATTTCTTTGCTTTCTTTCCCAGCAGATTTCAGAAGCTCATTCACAGTGAGGAATCACGGTTGCCAATGACTTAAGATGGGCCGCTTTGAACGTGTCAAATATTTGATGGTTGCCTTTAATATTCTGATCTGTGTAAGTGAGTTTGAGAGATTATGAGCAGCTTGTCATGTCTCCGAGAGGTGCTGTGATGGGAGCTGTGGAAGAGAGATGCAAGCCTTGCCTGTGCGAGCTGTCCAGTTCTTCAAGTGTTGCTCTGAATTTTATTGAAGGGACAGTTTCGTTGAGAGTAAATTATTCATGTTTGAGGTGATCCTGAAGCAGAAAGCAACTTCCTGCTCCACTTGAGAACATGTTGGAGATGTTGGTGCAGAGTGTGCATAGTTAGACACCCCAGAAACTTGGAGTGGAGACATCCTGCATGATGGGATATAATGCAGGAGATTCCTCTCGCATTACTCAATGTAATTCACACCATCACAGAATTGGCAGGTGGCAGCCATTTGCCCCGTCATGCCTGCACCAGTTCTATTCCCTAGTGCCAATCTCCTCCCTTTTCCCTATATCCCTGTGCACCATTTCTATCCAAATAATTATTCAATGCCCCTCTTGAGTACCTCCATCGTGCCTGCCTCCACCACATTTCCAAGCAGTGTATTCCATATCCTCACTACTGGCTGGGCGAATCAGATTATTTTTCTCACATCATCTTTGTTTCATTTGCACATCACTTTAATTTACGCACCTCTCATTCTTTTTTTTACTTTTACAAGCAGGAACAGTTTCTCCTTATCTCCTCTGTCCAGTCCACTCATGATTTTGCAAATCTTTACCTAATCTCTTGTCTTTCTTTTCTCCAAGGACAACAGTCCCAACATCTTCATCCATCCTCATGGCTGAAGTTTCTCAAACTTGGAACCATTCTTGTAATCCAACTGAGAATCTAACAAGTGTCTTGTACAACTCTCTTTATGCCCCTATTAATAAAGCCATGAACAGTGTATGCTTTATTAACTACTCTCTCCACTTTCAATGAGCTGTGCCCATATGGATCCATGAGCCCCGATTGAGTTGTCTCATTCAGCTCCACTCTACTTCTGACTCTTGTTCTGATAGCTGTTTCCCTTGCCTTTAAACTTGCAATTTAACTTTTTTGCTCAGCCTACAAAGTACTCGTCACTAACGCATAAGGGTTTGGGAGTCTACTGGTGTCAAAGTAGGGAGACATGTCTCGTAAACCAGTCAAACCATTCCCTGCCAGTCATATTTGTTCAACTGTATCTTTCTGTCAATGCTCCAACTCCCTTCATCAATCTTGTGGAATACCTCAGGGCCTGTAACCCTACCTGATCATTACACAAAGCCAGGAGATGCCCCCAATTCCTGTCAGGAGCAGAGGATGGGCAGGCAGAGGAATCACAGAGGCATGCTGTGAACTAAGTGCCTAGCTGGTAAGGTCAAGACACAGGACTAGATGCATGTTAAACAGTGCAAGCAACATGTGATTAAACAGAGCAAAGTGATCCCACTCTCAATGAATCAGATCAAATCTCTACAATGCCACCAAAACAATATCCAGGCAGTCCATAATGATGAACATTTGCCATATATTTCAACTACCCAAAAGCAAGGCTCCTCTCACGCTTCCTCAGTCAAAGAAACTCACCAATATCTATCCAACCTTCCCATCAGACCTCCATTTCTCAGTCCAGGCAATATCTCCTCACACCCTCCAATCTGACCGTGCCCCATCCATGTCAACTCATGGCATCTCCAAGCTATCGTTGCATAATACTTTATGATCCCTTTACCAATTTTTGGCCCTCTCCAAAAGGATAATCTATCCCTTCTAAAAACTCCAGCAAGTTTAGATCTTCTCATCAGTGCAAAGTGCTTAAGCTATGTTTTAAACATACCCCTGATGAAAGTTGGATGGGTCTCAAGGCAACTGCACTTCTTAGTTCACGCCACACTCCCCACCAACCACTTCAACCCACCTGGTACCTTCCCCTGTAACCGTAAAAGATGCAACACCTGCCCACACACCACCTCCCTCACCTCCATCCAGGGCCCTAAATAGTCCTTCCAGGTGAGACAGAGCTTCACCTGCGTCTCCTCCAACCTAGCCTATTGCATCAGGGGCTCCCAATGTGGTCTTATCTATGTCGGTGAGACCAAACGTAGACTAGGTGGCCGTTTGGCCAGCCTAACCTCCCGGTCGCCACCCATTTCAACTCCCCGCCCCACTCCCCCTCCACCGTGTCCGTCCTCAGCCTCCTCCAGTGTCACAGTGACTCAGAACGTAAATTTGAAGAGTTGGTCCCACCTGCCTACACTTGGACCATATCCCTCCAAACATTTCTTATTCATGTACTTATCCAAATATCTTTTAAATACTGTAACTGAATCCACATCCACCATTTCGTCTGGAAGTTCATTCCACTCATGAAACAGTCTCTGTGTAAAAAAAATTGCCCCTCATATCTTTTTTAAATTTTTCTCCTCTCACCTTAAAAATATGCCTCCTAGTCTTGAAACCCCGCATGCTAGGGAATAGACACTTGCCATTCACCTTATCTATACTCCTTATGATTTTATAATCCTCTATAACGTCACACCTCAACCTCCTATGCTCCAGTGAAAAAAGTTCCAACCTATCCAGCCTCTCCTTTTAACTCAAACCCTCCATTCCCAGCAACATCCTTGTAAATATTTTCTGAACCCTCATCTAGCTTAATAGTATCCTTCCTATAACAGGGTGACCTGAACTAGACACAGCACTCCTGAAGAGGCCCCACCAATTCCTGTACAACCTCAACATGATGTCCCAACTCCTAGACTCAAAGATCTGAGCAATGAAGGCAAGTGTGCTAAATGCCTTCTTAACCACCCTATCTACCTGTGATGCGAACTTCATAGAATTATGTACCTGAACCCCAAGGTCTACCTGTTCTACAACACTACCCAAGGCCTTACTTTTAATTATATAAGCGTTGACCTTGTTTGTTTTAGAAAAATGCAATACCTTGCATTTATCCAAATTAAACTCCTTCTGGCACTCATCAGCCCACTGACCTAATTAATATCTTCTTGCAGTCTGTCACTTTCTTCTTCACTACCAAGTGCACTGTCATCTGCAACTTCTGAATCATACCTTTTGCATTCATTTATTGACCTGTATCACAAATGGCAATGGACCTAATACTGAGCCTGTAGAACACTACTGGAAACAGTCTTCCAGTCACACAAATACCCATTGACCATTACCCTGTGCTTCTTGAGTCTGAGCCAAATTTGAATTCAGTTTGCCACTTTTCCTTGGATCCCATTGTCTTTTACTTTCACAGCCCATCTGCCCTGATGGACCTTGTCAAAAGCCTTGCAAAAATCCACAAAAATATTTCAAATGTACTACGCTCATTGACCCACCTTGTTGCTGCCTCAGAATATTCAATTATATTGCTCACATAGGACACTCCCTCAACAAGCTGCTAAGCTGTGTCTTTCTAAATGAAGATTTATTCCTGTTGAATATTTTTCAACAATTTTCCTATCCCTGAGGTAGGCTGTAAAGACTTTGGTCTATCACTTTCTCCCTTTTTAAATAATGGTACAATGTTAATTATCCTACAGTCCTTTTGCACCATGCATGTAGCTGGAGGGTATTAGAAAGTGTGTCTGTTATTTCTATCCTTAACAGCCTACGATTCATTTCATCTGTGCCTGGGAACCTTTTTACTTTCAAAGATGTTAAACTCCTTGATATTTCCTCTCATGATGTTAATTTCAGCCAATATTTTGCACTCCTCCTTGTTGATTGTAATCTCTGTACTCTCCACCTCTTTTGGGAAGACAGATGTAAAGTGTTCACATAAAGGTTAGCTTTAAATTCCCTGATAGATCAGCATTTTCTCTAGTCACGCTGTTGTTCTTTAAGTATTCATTAAAAGTCTTCGAATTTGCCTTCATTTTAATTGCCGATGTATTTTTGTGCCTTCTCTTTATTAGCCTATTTTGCTTTTCCATTTCAGCACAATCACAGCTTTAGGTTTTTAGCAGCGCTTTGGGCCCTTAGTATTTGTCAGAATTTTTCTCTATCCTCTCCTTAGATTTCCTTGTGATCCGGGGTCTCTGGATTTGTTAGTTCTACCCTTTATCGTTAAGGAAACATACATGCTCTGATCCCTCAAGATAGCCTTCTTGAATGTCTCCCTGTAAGTTGACAATGATATACCTTTAAGTATCTGTTCTCAGTTCATTTTAGCTCAATCAAATCTCAGCTCAGTATAAATAACTTTTTACAACTTGAAAACTTTTATCCCTGGTCTGTCTTTGCTTTTTTTTTCAATATAACCACACAAATCCAACTGAATTAAGATCGCTTTTGGCACAGTGCTCCCCAACTGATAGTCCTTCCACCTGACCAACTCTGTTCTCAAAACCTAAGCTCTGTTCGTGTTGGATGATATTTGTTTTATAGCATTATGGGATGGGCCTGATGATTGTGTCATTGTGTTACAGCTAAGTGGACTTCTCCTTCTGGCAGTTGCACTATTGCTGTTACTCCACCCCTCTGAAATTAGACACATTGTGTCAATCAATACGGTGATCTTCGCTGGAACAGTTTATGTTATTATTTTATCTATTGTGCTCCTCATTCTTGGAATACTGGGAAGTGTTGCAGCCTACCGGGAAAGCAGGGGTCTGTTGATGCTTGTAAGTCTGCCTCGTTTTCTTCAGTTCATGTTTTCTTGCAATTTATAAAGTTAATAACGTTATAGGTTAAGCATGGTGCATGATGTTGGTGTGTCAATGTGTCAGAATGTGCAGTGATGAGCAGTCTTATCATGAATCACAGATCCCACAGTCTCAGTGGGATCATCAGGCACTTGGGGTTTGGTTGATGTCTTGCCGATAGGGATCAGTTGGATTTATAAAGTCCCACTGAGGGAAGAAGTGGCACAGCTAAAACTCAAGTTGTTACTTCCATAACCAACCCACCCTGTCCTTCAGAACGATTATTCTCAAGGGTGGACATTGTCATGTCAGGGTGTTGAGAGGCAGGAAAGTAGCCTTAGCTGTTATCGCCGCCAGAGAAGGGCTCATTTACCTGCTCCATTTGGGTCAGTTCCCTGTTCACCAGGTCACTGTTCAATGCTGATGATTTAAATGCTTTCAAAGACAACAGATGGGCAGTAAGCTGCCCCCAGGGAAATGATGCCACCCTCTGTCCCCCCACCCCCTCACACACACTGCCAAAGATCTGATCAATGGTCAGCCAGACTAAGAGAGCATTCGGCCCAGAGTGTAACTTCAAAACCATCTGACAAATGGCAAAACCCAATAAACCCATTCAACTAACTCTTTACTAGAACTGCCCAGTGCTCCAATCCCTGGGATTTCCAGTATCCTCTTTAAGGAAGATCTGTTAATGAGTCTGATTTCAATCTGCTCTGGTGTGGGCCTCTCAGTGCCCACTTTAAGTGAACATCAAGATAGTTCCATTCACTTACAGCCATACCAACTGCTCTGTGCAATTTAGAAACCACTGAGTATTCTGTGGATCATTACCACTACAATGAAAGAGGTGAGGTGAGAAACCTGAAATGGAGATGGGGCTATAGAATATATTTCTGGTGTTTGCCATCTTTACAGTACCTAAAATGAGAGTGGTCTGTCTTCTTTCAGTTCTTCATGCTAATTCTGGTGGTCTTCATGATCGAGCTGGGTGCTGCCATTAGTGCTTTACTCTTCAAGTACCAAGTAAGTGCTCATCAGAACAAGCATGAGGACCTCATACAAACCGCAAATCTGAGCAAGCAGAGCCTTTTGAGCCTGCTCACCATTAAATATCACCATGACTGACTCCTGACCTAGAATCCACTTTTCCCCACATTGCCTTGTTACTACAAAGTCAAAAGCTCTACTGATCTCAGCCTTGAACATAATCTACACTCTGGGCTAAAGAATTCCAAAGATTTACTTTAGTGCTAAATATCCCCTTATCCTGAGTGTATTCCCCCTTGACTCAGAATCCCTACAGTGTGGGAGCAGGACACTTGGCTCATCAAGTCCACACCGAATCTCTAAAGACCATCCCACCAGACCCAAACCCCCACCCTAACTCTCTAACCCTGCATTTCCCATGGACTGGCCTACAGATCCCTGGACACCATGGGCAACTTAGCATGGCCAATCCACCTAACCAGCACATACTTGGACTGTGGGAGGTAACTGGAGCACCCGGACAAAACCCTCACAGGCATGGGGAGAGTATGCAAACTCCGCACAGATAACTACCCAATGCTGGAACCAAAGCTGGGTCCTTGGCATTGAGAAGCAGCAGTGCTAACCACTGAGCCACAGTGCTGCCCCTAGTTCTAGGCTTTCTATCCAGCATTGGTGACTGGACCTACAGCTGTCTAGACCCTAATTCCATTCCAAAGCATCTCCACCTCTCTGCTTTTCCTTCTAAAGTCACACACCTTAAAATGTACGCTCATCAGCTCATCTAATATCTCTTGGTATGGTGATGTGTCAAATTTTATTTCACAACATTGCCATGGGACTGGGTATCACACTTGGCTGGATGGCTTGTAGACAGTTCTGACTAAAGACACCAAAGCCAGTTTATTTCCTGTTCCAGCTGAGATAGACTTGGAACCTGCTTTCCCTGCTTACCCCTGAATGTTGATGGTGTGGGTTTATCTCCAGCAGGGTTATTTATCTGATATGACAATACTAAGTATTATCCCTCATAACATAAGGAGCTGACTGTACATATTGTGCTATTGAAGAATCCAATGGGCATTTATTATAGCTAAATATTATGTGCAGAAATTACATTCATAGGTACATAAGTGCCTTGTGTAGCAATATACGATAGGTTACACAGGGCAGCATGTTTCCATTAACCTGTCACGCTTCAGATGATCTCCAATAAGGTGGAGTATGGGACCTTTATGTCCTAATAAGGTCACATGCAATGATCCAGTGACAATATCATGAGTATGTCTGTTAATGGTACACTGACATACTTACTGTGAGATATAGAATCATAGAGTCATAGCGTCATACAGCACGGAAACAGACCCTTCGGTCCAACCAGTCTATGCCGAACATAATCCCAAACTAAACTAGTCCCACCTGCTTGTTCCTGGCCCATATTCCTCCAAACATTTCCTATTCATGTACTTATCTAAATGTCTTTTAAACATTGTAATTGATCATGCGATATCCTTTGTCCAAAAATGAAAAAAGTCCAGATTTACATGGTTATACAGAAGGGTATGTTGTCAATCCAATAATGTTACAAACAGGTAAAACAGCATTTACAAAACTAACATTTCAAACTCCAATGTAATTTTTTGGAGGTTAACAACTCCCCCTGCTTTGTTGACTGTATACCTGTCTGGAGAGGTGCACATTGTTTTCAGTTGCTCTTCATTGACCATCAGGTTGTCTTGTTGTTAGTTGCTGTCACTCGGCATCACCGCACAATCATCATTGTTCTTCCTCGCTGTTTTAGAGCACAATTGTTGTATTGGACATTACTCTGAGCTGATGTCTGGTCCTGTGCAATGTAGCATCATGATCATGATGGCTTTGCATGATCTGAACTGGCTGCATTTTCCAGAACTCTTTACTACTGTCCAAGTTTTAATATTTTTTTTTCTAACTCCCACTCTGTCCAGTGCGTAGTTTCAATAGTTTTTCATCTGCTCAGTCATCATTATTCCTCTGTCTTTAAAAAGAATGTCTTGTCCCTTGGAATGTTTTGGTAATTGGTTGTTGGGTCAAGTTGCTTTCTTAGCATTGCTTATGCTGGGGATGATAGTCCTTTCCCTGCTGGCATTGCAGCAAGTTAATTCGAAAATGTCACTTTGTTGCTTAGCTCTTGTTGAGCACTGATGTGATAGTACATACCAGGCATCCCACTTGTCATTTGGAATGTGGATAGTGAGGTGCCAATGTGATATAGTCCCCAATTACCACATGGGTCTTTAAACGGTTTGCCAGCAGTGCATTGTCAAACGCTATCCATTCTGGGATGCTGAATAAACTGAAAACAGCATTCCTCACCTGAGCTGCAGTCTCAATGATCGTGTTACTAAGTTGTTGAGCAATGGGAAATTTAGAGTAATCTGTTACAAGGATGTAATCTGCCCCATGCACTGTGAATAGGTCTATTGTCACTTCTGTCGAAGGACATTAAGTGGATGTAGAGGTTCCCTCTACTGCTGGGATTAATATGTTTGACATGCCTCACTGCATTCATGACTCATTGAATATCTCAAACCATCCTTGGCCAGCCCATACAAGCAAGTTTTATGAGTTCAGTGCCCATGTGTCCCTGGAGTATCATGGAGATGATATCTTGACTTTGCTCTTATTGCTCATTCAGGGAATGAGGTCTTCATTAATATGTATTTGGCTTTGGGGCTTATCTGCTTTTGAAAATAACTCGCCATGATGCACCGAGTTCAGCTCTGTGTGGCCACAATGGACAAATCCTCTCACATACCTCTTCAACACTGTCAGGCCTTCTCTGTGCTTTGGGCACTTTGACCAGTTTCTATTTAAACTTGTTTGACTTGGGTATTATACTTGTGAAATGAACAAAAGGGTCAGAGTCAACTTGCAGTTCATTACATTGTATTCACAAAATGTACTAAAGTCATAAAAGGTGCCAGAGATAGTAGGAACTGCAGATGCTGTCATATCCGAGAGAACAAGATGCAGGGCTGGATGAACACAGCAGGCCAAGCAGCATCATAGGAGCAGAGAGGCTGACGTTTCGGGCCTAGACCCTTCATCAGAAAAGGGGGAGGGGAAGGGGGTTTTGAAATAAATAGGGAGAGAGTGGGAGGCGGATAGAAGAGGGATAGAGGAGAGGATAGGTGGAGAGGAAACAAACAGGTCGAAGAGGCGGGGATGGGGCCAGGAAAGGTGAGTGTAGGTAGGGAGTTAGGAAGGGGATAGGTCAGTCCAGGGAGGACGGACAGGTCAAGGGGGCGGGATGAGGTTGGTCGGTAGGAGATGGAGGTGCGGCTTGAGGTGGGAGGAGGGGATAGGTGGGAGGAAGAACAGGTTAGGGAGGCAGGGACGAGCTGGACTGGTTTTGGGATGCGGTAGGGGGAGGGGAGATTTTGAAACTTGTGAAATCCACATTGATACCATTGGGCTGCAGGGTTCCCAAGCGGAATATGAGTTGCTGTTCCTGCAACCTTCGGGTGGCATCGTTGTGGCACTGCAGGAGGCCCAGGATGGACATGTCGTCTGAGGAATGGGAGGGGGAGTTGAAATGGTTCGCGACTGGGAGGTGCAGTTGTTTGTTGCGAACCGAGCGTAAGTGTTCTGCAAAGCGGTCCCCGAGTCTCCGCTTGGTTTCCCCGATGTAGAGGAAGCCACACCGGGTACAGCGGATGCAGTATACCACATTGGCAGATGTGCAGGTGAACATCTGCTTGATGTGGAAAGTCTTCTTGGGGCCTGGGATGGGGGTGAGGGAGGAGGTATGGGGGCAGGTGTAGCACTTCCTGCGGTTGCAGGGAAAAGTGCCGGGTGTGGTGGAGCTGGAGGGGAGTGTGGAGCGGACAAGGGAGTCACGGAGAGAGT